GCCGCGAAGATGTATCAGGATTTGAGGCAGCACTATTGGTGGAGAAGAATGAAGAAAGACATTGTGGGATTTGTAGCTCGGTGTCTCAATTGCCAGCATGTGAAATATGAGCATTAGAGACCGGGTGGCTTGCTACAGCAGATGGATATTCCCGAGTGAAAGTGGGAGAGGATCACTATGGACTTTGTAGTTCGACTTCCATGGACTTTGAGGAAGTTCGATGCTATATGGGTGATTGTGGATCGGCTGACCAAGTTCGCGCACTTCGTTCCTGTATGTACTACCTATTCTTCAGAGCGGTTGGCAGAGATCTATATCCAGGAGATTGTTCGTTTGCATGGTGTCCTAGTTTCCATCATTTCAGACAGGGGCACTTAGTTTACAACGCAGTTTTGAAGGTCTGTGCAGTGAGAGTTGGGTACTCAGGTTGAGTTGAGCACAGCTTTTCACCCTCAGATGGACGGGCTGTCCGAACGAACTATCCAAATATTGGAGGACATGTTGCGTGCTTGTGTCATTGATTTTGGAGGGTCATGGGATCAGTTTCTACCGCTTGCAGAGTTTGCTTATAAAAACAGCTACCNCAGGAGAGGCTTCGTACAGCGCAGTTGAGGCAAAAGAGTTATGCTGACAGGAAGGTTCGAGATGTCTCCTACATGGTTGGTAAAAAGGTCATGTTGAAGGTTTCGCCTATGAAGGGTGTTATGAGATTTGGGAAGAAAGGGAAATTGAGTCCTCGGTTCATTGGGCCTTTTGAGGTGCTTCGAAAGATTGGGGAGGTGGCTTGTGAGCTTGCTTTTCCACCCAGCTTGTCGAGTGTGCATCCGGTATTTCATGTTTCTATGCTCCGTAAGTATATTGGGGAAACGTCTCATCTTATGGATTTCAGCACGGTTCAGTGGGATGATGATTTGACTTATAATGTGGAGCCAGTAGCTATTTTGGGTCGACAGGTTCGAAAATTGAGGTCAAAAGATATAGCGTCAGTGAAAGTGCAGTGGAGAGGTCGGCCCATGGAGGAGGCTACCTGGGAGACCGAGCGGGAAATGCGGAGCAGATATCCTCACCTGTTTGAGGCTTCAGGTATGTTTCTTGACACATTTGAGGACGAACGTTTGTTTAAGTTGGGGAGGATGTGACGACCCGACCAGTCATCTCATGAGTTACCGCTCCGTTTTCCCCCTTTCTGCTCCTTTATGCTTTGTTTATCCGTGTTATGTGATATCGGGTTGGTCGGATCGAATCCGGAATAAATTTAGTAAGGTTTGAGACACTTATTCTCTTTTGAGGAAGCTTAAGTTGGAAAAGTCAACCGGATGTTGACTTATGTGTTAGAGGGCTCGGATGTGAGTTCCGATGGTTCGGTTAGCTTCGGGAGGTGATTTGGGACTTAGGAGTGTGATTGGAATGGTCTTTGGAGGTTCAGAGTAGATTTAGGCTTGAATTGGCAAAGTTGATATTTTGGCGATTTCCGGTTGATAGGTGAGATTTTGATATAGGGGTCAGAATGGAATTCCAAGAGTTGCAGTAGTTCCGTTATGTCATTTGGATGTGTGTGTAAAATTTCAAGTCATTCAGACGTGGTTTGATTGGGTTTTTTATCAAAAGCGGAATTTGGAAGATTTTAGAAAATTTGGCTTGAATCCAATGTGTTTTGGTTGATTGATGTTGTTAGAGGTATTTTGAAGATTGGTACAAGTTTGAATAAGGTATTAGGATATGTTTGTGCTTTTGGTTGAGGTCCCAGGGGCCTCGGGGTGATTTCGGATGGCTAACGGAGAAGTTGGAATTTTGTTGCAGCTGCTGTTTGCTGCTTCTGGTATTTCTGCACCTGTGGATTGGGGACTACAGGTGTGATGAGGGAGGTCGCAAAAGCGGAAAAGTGCTGATGGAGTCAGGGACCGCAGAAGCGGTGAGATGGACCGCATCTGCGATGTCACATATGCGGATGAGGAATCGCATATGCGGAAAATAGTGAGTTAAGTGATTTCCGCAGAAGCAGAGAAATAACCGCAAATGCGGTACCGCAAGAGCGGGTATTGTGCCGCAAATGCGAAAATGTCTGGCAGAAAGTATAAATTGTATCATTCGCGAATTTTAGCTAATTTCACCATTTTTATCTCGGCTTTGGAGCTTTTTGGACGATTTGAGAGAGGGATTTCAAGGGAACTTCATTGAGGTAAGGAATTTAGACTTAAAACTCGTTCCTATGCTATTACTACATGGATTAGAGCTAGAAATCATGAAAATTTATGGTGAAAATTGGGGAAACTAGGGCTTGGAAACTTAGGCCTTTAATTGAGGATTTGAAGGACCATTTGGGGTCGGATTTAAGAACTTTGATATGTATGAACTCGTGGGGAGATAAGGAATCTAAAGATGTAAAGATTATTGAATTCCGAGACGTGGGACCAGGGGTCAAGTTTTGGTAATTTCGGGATTTGTGTCATATTTTGATTATTTTTGCTTGGGTTTCATTCCCTTAGCATATTTTGGCGTCCTCGTTCTGATTTTGGATAGATTCGACGCGAGTGGAAGCCGATTCAAGGGGCAAAGGCGTCGCGAGCTAGGGATTTGACCGGTTCGAGGTGAGTAATGATTGTAAATGATGTTCTGAGGGTATGAAACCCCGGACTTGCACATCGTTGCGCTATATTGAGGTGAGATACATGCTTGATGACGAGCGTGGGATCGTGCACTGTTGGGGATTGTGACTTAGTCCATTCCGAATGGCTATTTTACTGCGTATTTGACTGAAATCTATTTTCTATCTTCATGATTTGGGCTAAATTCCATATTTGGGCCTTGTGCCAACTACTTGAATCCTTTCGGGGATTTTTACTGGTATTTTCTCACTGTTTTGACTTTATACTTGAACTAAGTCATCCTATATTTCACTATTTTCGTACTCAGCCATGTTTACTCTGTTTTAAACACTTACATGATCTTTTAATTGATATTTTTGGGGCTGAAAAACATGTTTTACTACTGCCCGAGTGGCTTGTGAGGATTTTGACTGAGTAAGGCCGAGGGCCTATGTTGTGAGGATTTGATACTGATTATGAGGCCGAGGGCCTGAGATATGTGTGCCGTGATGTGGCTTGATTGATATGGGGGCTGAGGGCCTAGTGATGATGCCACGAGATGGCTTGATATTGCGCTTGGGCCGTAAGGGGCCTCTCCAGGAGTCTGTACACCTCCAGTGAGAACGGGTACCTATTTGTGTTGTGAGATTCAGCCAGAGGGGCTGGTATTATTCTATTTGATTGCCCGAGGGGCTGGTACTGTTCTGAGATGTTGCCCGAGGGGCGAATTTGTTGATACTATGCCCGAGGGGCGAGCCTTTATATGTTTACTTTTCATAATTGACTGTCAATTACCTGCTTAATTATTGAAAAAAAGCTTTTCATGAAATTACATTTTAGTTAAAGGATTTTACCTATCTTTCACTGATTTACTAAATTTAAATGGTTTTACTGCTTCATTATAGAATGTTTTGTGCCTTACGTGATTTCTTGCTTTCAGTCTTTATTTACATTTGTTACTCACTAAGCTGGAGTACTCCCTTTACTCCCTACACCCCTGTGTGCAGATTCAGGCATTGCTGATCCTGCCAGTGCGAGTTGAGTGCTCCCGGCGGACATTCGGAGTTCACGAGGTAGCTGTTTGACGTCCGCAGACCCGTGTTTCTCCCTCTTTATCATTTCTATTTCTGATCAGACAATTGTAATAGTTTATAGATTCATCGGATTTGTAGTAGGATTTATAGATGCTCATGACTAGTGACACCCCGGTATCGGGCTGTGTTGGGTTATTTTCCGCGAATTATGCTATTATCTGATAACTTTGGATTACCTTATCATACTTTAGATTTATTTCTTATGGTTTAACTGTTAATATTTGGAAATGGGAAGTGTCGGCTGGCCTTGTCTTCATGAGAGGCGACATCACGACCGGGTTTGGGGAGGGTCGTGACAGCAAGCGACCTTGCAAAGGTCAAATTGGAAGTTGATAAAAAATGCACATGTGATTGTAGATGCATCTATTAAACTCATACAATGGTAAAAAGTCCATATGGTAGGTGATTGGGCTCATATATGTCACGAACCAATTTCCTTTATTGGCCGTGATGACACCCAACATTGCTATTAGGCAAGCCAATGATGAACCATCAACACAAACAACCATTCTAATACTTTTAAAATCAAGAATTATAATAATAAAGTGGAGTTAAGTTTCGAAATCGTGGCAAAGTACTTTCAATCTTGCTAAGTCACAAAATATGAACAAAACATAAAGTGAAGTGATATGAATATTAGGTACAACTATGAACATCTACAATAATCCCCAAAATCCAGTGTCAAAAGTGTATGAGCATCTTGTAGGATATACAAAATCACTACAACTACTGTATGGAATGAAAAATAGACAGAATAAGATAAAAATATAGGAAAAGAGTCTCTGGGTGTTGCGGGTCAAAGCATGGAAAGAAGCTCATCACTAAGTCTCTAGATGATGCCACTATGAGCCCAAGTGACCATCTGATATACATGTCTCAGTACCTACACAATTAGGGCTAAAGTGTAGTATGAGGATGTAAATCAATACGTACCAAGTAAGTATCTAGTCTAACCTCTGAGAAGTAGTGATGAGGGATCGACTCATATGCGCTTTGAAAATATATTCGAATATTACGCACGAATTGTGCCTAGGTCGTGCGGCCTGATCCACAAGAATAGAGTTATGTAACATCACCGTATTCGTACGCCCGGATCTATAGATGCATCTCATAATACTACCGAGGTCGACGACCCGATCCATAATAATATTTTATAGCACTACCAAGACGTAGGACCCGATCACATTTCTATTATCTATTATATAGAAGAGGCAAGTGAGGTCGACCAAGGGCATAAATGTAATTTCACTCTGCCATAAAGTTTTGTGCTCCATTAGACACACTACAGTGTTCTAGAACCATCTCGTCTTCCATCTCTTCTATTCCAACAGAGCAGAAGTATTCTTTTCAGATCTTCAGACTTTCAAGAATACTTTTATCTCTCTTCATTTTTCTTCCATCTCTTGCAATTTCAGGTATGATTGTCTCTCAATCCTCTCTCTACTATTTTTGTCTTTGCCTTTTCGACATCTCTTAACAAATTTTAATTTCATAGCTGAATTTTTGGTTGTTGTTGTTGTCCTATGGTGACATTATTATGTCTATAGAGGGAAGGAGAACTAAAAATTTTGGGCTGAAATTTGTTGCTTTGATACGATTTTTCTTTCTATTTTTTCTACGTCATGGTTTATTCGAAGTTCTCTTCTAACTTTTCGTTTTCGCCAAAGAAGTCGAAAATAGAGAAAATCAAACCAAAATACAATACCAAAGCAGACTATAAGTTCTCTTATTCAGAGAAACTCAAGGAAAATAGGAAATCAAAATGCATTTCAGAACACCTATCAACATAAATCATACTGTATTTTGGAGATGATCCCATGGACATGTGATCCTGAATCAGATTCAACATTCAAAACTTTTCTCAACTGTTACTTGTATTGTTGTTTCAGTGGAAGACAGATTCAGCCACTCCTGCCTCTCTCACTTATTTCTACTTCCATTCATTGGACATGTTCTCATACTTGCAATTTGCATTCTCATCACACACTGACGATAGTACGATGGAAAAAGTTCCTTCATATTTACTAATTCTCTCTTGCAATCATAAATACAATCAAATTGGAATGAAAAAAAACTGACAGAAGGGCTAGGCGTTATATAGACTGATGTCGGCGGACAAAAACAAATCCCTTTTAATACAACAATGAGCTAATAAAGCTGAATTAAAAGATGGCTTTTCTGTGACAATGTTACTATTGCATTGTCGCAATAACACTCTATATAGATGAGTATAATTAGCGGAAATGGTATGATTCGTTGGAGTATCCTAATTCCAGTTTCAATCCGAACTAAAAAAACAAACAATAAAGAAGTTGTCATGTATAAATCCTCAACATATGTATTATGTAGTTTCTCTTTATTCTTTGACTAGCCATTTTGACTTTAGCACTTTTGCATGTTAAAAGGATAATTTGTATCTCTGCAGTAGAACAGTCACGTCCGATGGCTCTAAGCGCTGGCTGCACAACATAGAAGCCTAAGGTTGACGTTCTGACTGACACTGTCACTTTTTATTTTAAGATTTTGTTATTTTGGTCTTTTGCTTAAATTTTGTAGTTGCGCTTGTTTCCTTTAAGAGGATTTTTTATGAAATTCAAGGTTGCACGATAGAGATTAATGATAACTTGAAGCAGGTTTATCTATTACATGAATTTTGTGATTATTTCTCATCTTCATTTCTTCTACTGTAGGTACACTCACTAAAATACATATCCTGCATTTTACTGTTACGAAGTCTGGGAAAAAATTTATCAATGTTAATTGTTGAAAAAATTACGCTTAAAATATCAGCATCTCCTAATGGATAGCTGAATAAAGCACTTATGCATATAATCCAATTAGATTTACCTCCTTTAAGAGAGTGGACTAATATCTAGAATTCTGGATTTTAATCGATCCACCAATCCTGCTCTATGTTAAACTACTATATGTTGTTGCAACACATTCTCTCAGTACATTCTATCTGATTGATTTGGTGCAAAAAGCTTCCTTTTCTTACTCTACTTTTGAGATTTTTTTGGTTTCTTTGTTTGCCTTTTTTGGGGTCGCGGTTGGAGGGTCATGAAAACTAGAGTTTGTTTTAAGAATTTCTTTTTCGCTATTTTTAATATGTCGATGTATGTGCACCAAATTGTATATTTGCTTTTTTTCTTTTTGAAGCATGTTCTCTCTTTATCATTAATTTCTTCAAACTTACTGGGTACACTAATTTACCTTCGATATTTCTCTATCTATTTCTCTTTTGAGGAAATGAAAAAGAGAATTAAGGCCACTAATATTCTAATGTTTATCATTATACTAGAAATGAAATTCTTAAAAGGTAATATAAGGTTAGTATATCTCGGATATTTATACATTTTTTTATCTATCAAAAGATTTATTATTAGAGGGTGGATTGTATATTTAATTCCTCATGAAGATTGTCTTTTGCATGTTAAAGATGTTTCAAACTCTTTTGAGGATATATATAAAGGTATGCCAAACTATCATTCTTTTTTTTTTTTGTTATTGATTGTTTTGTTTATGCTCTATAATCTTTTAAACTATAAACAAACGCGCTATCTGCAAATGCCAATAATTTGTGCGTCAAAATGAATTGATACTTTAACATAATCAGCTAGATCCTTTTTAAGCTGTGAGCAAACATATTATCTGCACATGTGAATGAGTTATGTGTCAATTGAGTTGATGCATTAACTTAGTTAGCTATGTCATTTTTCTTACCACTAATTTTTTCAAGGAAAAGTGATGGGATGGTCATGGTACACGTTGGCAATAAAAGATATATGGCATTTGTGCTAACCAACGTTACTTGAGGAAGTATATATTATATTTGAAGTTAAAGCCTAGAAGCCAGCAGCATACTTTGCTAATAGTTTTGGACTGCTCATCTTATCCAAAACTCAATTGCAAGTAGCTTCAGTATTCCATCTTCTTTCAAGAAAAGCAATTTTTTGGCATCCATCTATGCGGCAGTTGTGTTTATAAGTTTCAAATATAGTATTAGGTTGTCATGGTGATCCAAAATGAATAAGCCTCTTCTCCTTGATTGCCCATATTGTATGCTTCTGAGTTCAAGAATTTAGAACTGACATGTCTAAGGAAATTTAAAGAAGAGGGGCAACAATATTGTCCTATTCTATTCTTGTTCTTTCTTTCCTTCCTATAATTTTTTATACATATATATTATATGTACATTGACACCTGACAATTCTCATCACTTCGCAATTCTACAGGTGCGAAAGATGCAAAAAGGACACGACTGACCACAACATCATCAATGCATCAAGCATCAAATTTTCTGAATATGTAAATAGTAATAGTAAGTTCATGGCAGTAAAAAATGTGCTACTTACAATATTTCGTAACTTGTGTACAACTTGATTTTGTTTCTAAATGCATCGATGATATGAAGGTTCGTGGATGTGAAGAATGTATTCTTTGGCAGCCACACAACATGCATGAGTGCATATTTTGTTCAGAAATGAATATAAATTATTTGAAGCTGTTAATTTCAACACTGACAATATTGGGCCCGTGCTTACGGGCCATAACCATCTAGTAGGAATAGAGAAACTTTCATCGGGCCACTAGCCCCACATGTGAAGGTACGTGCGAGTCGAGAAGTCCCTGAACTACCGATCACATAAGAACACACGAGGATATGAATGTAAGAGAAAACATAATTGTTACCGACAATCAAATATCCCGCCAAAACTCAAAGTAAAGAGGCTTGGTCAAATATGTAAATTCTAGTCTCAAGTTCAGCTATGAATTTAAGTAATCAAAAAGGAAAGATTAATTCAAGTATAACAGTTAAGGCATGATGTAGGTATAATTCTACCTGGGCATAAACTAGAATCTAGCTTACGCACGGGCACTCGTCACCTCGTATGTATGTAGCACCCAAAACACATAGCACATAACAAGTAAAAATACCTATGGGGATAATTTCCTCTTATTAGATTAGACAAGAGACGTATCTTGCTTCCAAGTCCACTACTCGGCTCCCACACCTCACTAACGCCTCAAATTGATGCCGAGCAACTCGAAACTAGCCAAAAGGACGTGCAAACCAATCAATATATGCTTAAGAACTCATAATATAACTATTAGAATTAACTTCCAACCCCACTCGGAAAGTCAACAAAAGTCCACCCCGGACTCAAGCCCGAATTCTAGAAATTTTTGAAGATAAATATCACCCATGGAATCACGAACTTAAATGTATAATTTATACATAATTTCATAACCAATTTCGTGGTCAAATCTCACTTTTTCCAGTTCTAATTTTTCTATCCAAGACCAAAAAAATCTACTAAGTTTCATGTTAAAGTCCTCACATAATACATATATTCAACTCACAATAAGTACAAATCACTTACCTAGTGATGATTAATGAAAATGGCCCGTCAAAAAGCTCCCCTATCGCCCCAAGCCAAGAAAAAATAGGGCGAATGAGCCTAAGTCTCGTATTGAAACTTTTAATCTGTGCAAGTGTCCTTCATCGCGATCGTGAAGGCCAAATGATGCCTCAGCCAACCTTTCACATTTCTGGGCCCACAACCGCGTTTGCGAAGGCCAAATCCTGACATCCCATTCCTTCCTCTTCCTTCTTCGTGTTCGCATAGGCTTCTTCACGTTCGCAAAGAGGAGCTAGGTCATCCATTGCGTTCGCAGGGGGCATTCTTCGCGTTCACAAAGAGCAACCACTGCACCCCTCCAAAATCCTTCTTCGCGATTGCGGGACCACATTCGCGATCGCGAAGGACACTAGCACCATAAAATTTTTATCAACTTCAACATCGCTCAAGGTTGTCCGAAACTCACCCGAACCACCCGGGATCCCATTCAATTATACCAACAAGTCCATAGGCATAATCTGACCTACTTAAGGTCTCAAAATACTCAAAATCACACACAACCAAGAATCTAACCCCAAACCAAACTTATCAACTTCTAATCATCAAACTTCTTCCAACAAACTCCTAACGCAACGAATCATACTTAGATAACTCGGAATGATGCCAAAATTCATAAACAAGTTCAATATGATAATAGGAATCTATCCATAGGTTTGGAAAACCAAACGGGATCCGATAATGCCAAAGTCCACCCTAGGTAAAACATAGAAAACTCTAAAACCTTCAAAATACCAACTTCTAACAATAATTACCGAAACACTCTCGGTCCACTTGAAACTCGATTCGAAAGTTCAAAATTGTCATATGAACCTATTGGAACCTTCAATTCCTGATTTTGAGGTCGTTTACTCAAATTGTTGACTTAAGTAATACTTTTCCAATTAGGCCACTATTATATAACGAAATATTTGCACTTCAACCCGAACCCTTCCAAAATCAAACCAACCTCCCCCGAAAGTCATAAAATAGGAAAAACACATATGGGAAGTCTTAAGTAGGGGCACAGTATTTTTGAAAGCAAATCGACCGATCAGGTCATTTTGTTTTCCACCTTTTAAACAAATATTTATCCTTGAACGAGTTTAAAATCATAGTTGAAGTGCCAAATATGTGTGGATATATACTCCGTGTGTCCTCCTTTGTTTCCCAAGTCACCTCATTGACTGGTTGACCCCTCCATTGAACTTTCACAGCTGAAATCTCCTTAGACCTCAACTTGCGAACATGCTTGTCAATAATGGAAACTAGCTCCTCCTCGTAACTCAAGTTCTCATCCATTTGAACTGTGCTATAATCCAACACACGGGGCCTATCAGCATGGTACCTCCAGAGCAAGACACATGAAATACCGGATGAACTCCCAATAGGCTAGGAGGCAAAGCAAACTTGTATGCAACCTCACTAACTCGCTCCCAAACCTCGAACGAACTAATAAATCTCAGACTCAACTTGTCTCTCATTCTGAATCTCATGATATCCTTCATCGGCAAGACTTTCAAAAGAACCTTCTCACCCACCATAAATGACAAATTACTCATTCTGATCTGCATAGCTCTTCTTCTTGGACTGTGCTATGCGAAGCCGCTATTGAATCAACTTTACCTTATCCAAGGCATCCTTTACCAAATTACTGCCATATAACCTAGCCTCCCCAGGCTCGAACCAACCGATAGGAGAACGACATCGTCGGCCACATAAGACCTCAAAAGGAGACATCTCGATACTGGATAGATAACTGATGTATAAGCAAATTCGGACAATGGTAAGAATCATTCCTACTGCCCTCCAAAGTCAATCATACATGCTCTAAGCATATCCTCCAGGATCTGAACTGTCTAATCCGACTGCCCGTCGGTCTGCGGATGAAAGGCTGTGCTGAGCTCTACCTAGGTACCCAACTCACTCTGTAATGCTCTCCAAAAAAGCGAAATGAACTAAGTTCCTTGATCTGAAATAATGGAAATAGGCAAGCCATGTCACCGGACGATCTCCTGGATATAAATATTGGCCAACCTCTCCGAAGTATAAATAGTCATCACCTGAATAAAGTGCACAAACTAGGTCAGTCTATCGGCAATGACCCAAAAATATCAAATTTCCGCAACGACTGCTGCAAACCAACCATGAAATCCATAATGATGCGCTCCTATTTCCACTCCAGTATAACCATTTTTTGAAGTAAGCCACCTGGCCTCTAATGCTCGTACTTAACCTGCTGGTAATTAAAACATCTCGACACATACTCAACTATGTCCTTCTTCATCCACCCCCACCAGTAATGCTGCCTTAGGTCAGAAACATCTTCGTAGTACCTGGATGAATGAAATAACACAAACTATGTGCCTCCTCTAGAATCGACTCCCTCAGGCCATCGACATTAGTAACATATAAGCGAACCTGGAGCCACAGAACACCATCATCCCGGATAGTAACCTCCTTGGCATTACCTCAAAGTACCAACTCTCTAAGAACCATCAAGTGTGGATCCTCATACTGACGAGCCTTAATCCGCTCGAATGAATATTGAGCCACAACAATGCGAGAACTCGATTGGGCTCTAAAATATCCAATCTCACACTGCGTTTAGCTAAGGACTAAATGTCTAAAGCCAATGTCCTCTCCTCTGCTGGAATTAATGCCAAACTACCCGTACTGTTAGCCTTTCTGCTCAAGGCATCCGCGACCACATTCGCCTTGCCCTGATGACAAAGAATGGTAATATCACAGTTCTTTAGTAACTCAAGCCACCTGCACTACATTAGATAAATATCCTTCTACTTAAATAGATGCTTCAAGCTACAGTGATCGATGTAAACCTCCATGACACTCCATAAGGATAATGCTTCCAGATCTTAAGAGTATGAACTATCGCAACCAACTCCAAATTGTGCACATGGTAATTCTTGTCATTGGGCCTCAACTGATGAGAAGCATACACAATAACTCGCTCTTCTTGCATCAACACACAACCTAACCCAACACATGAAGCATCGCAATACACAGTGTAATCCCAAAACCGAAAGGTAAAACTAATACTTATGCGGTAGTCAATGCAGTCTTGAGCTTCTAAAAGCTCGACTCGCAATCATCGGACCATTTGTAGTGAACGCTCTTATGGGTCAATCTAGTTAAAGGAGCTACAGTAGATGAGAATTCCTCTACAAACCGACGATAATAACCTGCTAGCCCCAAAAACTCTTGATCTCAATCATTGTGGTAGGACGACCCTAACTCTGAACTTCCTCGATCTTCTTGGGGCTCAACTTAATACCCTCACCGGATATAGCATGCCCCAAGAAAGGCACAAAATCTAACCAGAACTCATACTTGGAGAACTTAGCATACAATTTTTGTTCCCGCAAAGTCTAAAGTACTATCCTCAAATGTTGCTCATGCTCCTATATGCTACGCGAGTAGATCAATATGCCATCAATGAAGACAATAACAAATGAGTCAAGATATGTCATGAACACCCAATTCATCAAATCCATAAATGTTGTTGGAGCTTTAGTCAAGCCAAAGGACATAACCAGGAACTCATAGTATCCATATCTAGTCCGAAAAGCCGTATTCGGAAAATCTGAATTATGAATCCTCTGCTGATGATACCCAAATCTCAAGTCGATCTTCGAGAACACTCTAGAACCCTTAATCTGATCAAATAAATCGTTAAGTCCAGCAATAAAAACTTATTCTTGATGGTAACCTTATTAGCTAGTGATAATCAATGCACATACGCATAATCCCATCCTTTTCCTTCACAAATAATATCGGTGCGCACTAAGGAAACACACTCGGCCTGATAAACCCCTTCTCGAGCAACTCCTAAAGCTGCTCCTTCAGCTTTCTCAACTTAACATGAGTCATATGATAAGGTAGGATAGAGATAGGCTGGGCTCCTTGTGCCAAATTAATGCCAAAATCGATATCACGATCCGGCGACATGCTTAGTAAATCAATAGGAAATACATCAAAAAACTCCCGCACTATATGCACTAAATCTATCTTGGGAGTCTCTACAACAATATCTTGAACAAAGTCCAGATAGGTCAAACAACCCTTCTTGATCATATGTCGAGCCTTCAAGAATGAAATAACCTGACTGGATGTACTACCAGATGAACCTCTCTACTTAAGCCTAGGCAACTCTCGAGTGTTGATTCCAAACGCACCCGCAAGTGTACGTGGTCGACAAATAGTAAAATGATGAGAAAGTATCGTCCCGCGAGAATTAATAATCAACTATTTTCCAATCTAAACTATGTATAAATTTCTTGCTCAAGGATTTTTACTACTAAAGTTACTACGAAATTACTAAATAGTCAAACAATTCAAAGATGCAAAGCAATCAAGTAAACACTTAGAAAGAATTCAATGAGGTGGGAATATTCCAGTGTTATGAGATTAATGTCTCTCCAATTGCGTTCTATGGGTTGATTTAATCACTTGATTAACTAATTTGTTAATTAGCAGAGCTTATTATGCTCGTGAAGTTCTTTCAACGCTTCGCGCGCGTATTCAAGTAACCTAAGACTATATGTCTATAGAATCAGAACTAACAAGAATGTATGCATATTTCTTGTGAAAATAACAAAGTAAGGGAACTAGAATATATCGATCCTAATCGCGAATCTATTCTCCGGTGTCTGAATTGAAGAACTTACTCTATTCAATCTTATATGCAATCTATAATTTCCACTTTTGAGTTCAACTATAAACTCGTAGATAGTATTTTATTGTTAGCTATGCAATAGAAAAAATTAATTGCAGGATTGAATAAACAAATTAATATAATAATTCAAGCAAAACAATCAACCATCAAACTATAATAGACAATAACGACCCATAACCCCAGAATCATGAGGTTCTTAGCCACTCATGTTCATGACAACAATCAAACTAGTATTCTTAAACATAAAGTTATAAATACTAGATGAAAGATGGAAGAATTAATGAATTTCGTTGTCCGTTTGTGTTTCTATGCGTTTTCCACCTTCAAAATTGTCCAACCCTCAAATAATCACGTTTAAAGGGTATTTATAGGTTATGGTCGGAGTTCTCATGCTCAAATTCAAGTGAAAAATGTTTAATGCACGGACTGGAAAAGGATAAGGCCTCAAAGCTCGAGAGGTCTGGCTTGTAGCACGCCCTGGAGCTCGCCTGGTCTTTTCTTCGTACGGTGGATCTTGCCTAGGACCAGGCATCGCCTGGCCTGGTGCCTGGTTCTAGGACTTGTTTGATTTTTCCTTTATACGCTCTTTTTGTGTTCTTTGATATCCTGGTGTGCAACCTTCATGGATTTTCATCCTCCAATTATCCTACACATAAAAAGATACAATTAAGCTCACATTCAAATCAAATGCTCAAATATACTTTAAGGACTCATATATATCAAAGGAAATACCTCACTCTCACAAAGAATCACATTCATGCAATCGGTACCATAAGTTTGCCCTTAATGTATACCTCTACTAATGTAGACTTGCTCGATCTAAAATAAATTAGGACTTTTTTATGGTTGTAGTGTGGGCTAAGGTACGAGGAGAATATATTTAGGAATAGTGGTTCACCCTCCTGAGCACTTTAACACATCACATAATAAACTTTCACTGCACATTAGGGGTGGCCATAATACCGACCGAATCGAAAAACCGGCCGAACCGTGAATTTTGGTTTTTCGGTTTCGGTTTAATCAGTTTTTTGGTCGGTGCATGGTTTTAAAATTATTAATTTTTGGTTTTTTAGTGCGGTTTACGGTTTTTGTATTTTGGTTTTCGGTTAAACCGAAATTCACAGGTATTAGTCCCTCTCTGAAATCAAAAACTAAACTGTGTCTTATATCTTCCACACAACTCTTTCCGATTCTTCCTTTATGCTATCTTGTCTTTAAGGCATTAAACATGCCAATACGCAATAACACAACTTCTTCGATTTGTTGTGGTGCATCTGACCAAACCTTTTTTTCATGCACTTGTGATATATTTAAAGAAGTTATTAAACATACCAATACGCAATAACACAACACAACTACTGTTTCTTTCTTTCCAGCTCTTCAAGCAGAGACAAACATTGAAAATCATCTGAACCATCAAATTGCAAATGTACGCATTCAACTTTTTTCCACGCTTTCAAAATCATAGTCAGAGAAACAAATGAAGTAGACCAAAGTTGAACAATAAATTCAAAAACCTCTTTTTCCTTGCCTTAATACTGCAACTTATGAATTGGCTTCTCATCCCTTATTGTTCCACTTACGATATGGATATCAGTGTACAATCTTTTATAGGAGGCTTCTGGGATTAGACTTCTAACCAATTCAATAAAATCAGTGTACAATCATTTCTTAAAACCAGCATTTCTAGAGAAGCATAAAATTATTTTAAACCGTTTAAAACCGAAAAAATAAACCGAAAATAACCGAACCGAGCTTTGTAAAAACCGCACCAAATCGTAAATACTTTGGTTTGATTTGGTTATTAATATTACAAATCGAAAACCGATAAATCGAACCGTACTTTCATAATAACCGACCGAACCGACCGATGCTCCCCCCTAGTGCACATTCTTCAATCCACTTCAATTTCACAACAAAAATCATAACCCAAAAATATTCATTCTTTCTTTAAGCACTATCTTAATTAAGCTCCACCAGCAAGAACAAGACATCACTTTATCCATCTATACTTTTTCTTCTTTTTTTCTTCTCATTTATTTTTGGCATGTTCATTTTCTTTTGTAATTTTCGCTAGTGGTCTGTAATTTTACAAAATAAGTGCACATTTCCTCCTTTTATCGGTTTTACTCAAAAGCCACTCCAAATTCTCTCACTTCTTTTAGAGTCCATTTTATAATTAAAGTACTTTAAGAGGTAAAAGGATCAAACACTATCAATTAAGAACAAAATGGAACAAACTTCTACGAGTGCCAATTAATAGTCTATAGGCTCAAAAACGTTAACTACGGATAAATTTTATTTGTGATAAGCAATAGAGCTCAAAAAAGATCAAAGAAAGTCTAACATTATTTTCAAATTGAGCATCACCTAAAATTTTGCTTTGACTCACATACGGGGCAAGTTCTAGACTCAAGTACAATACATGGACTACACAAAAATTTCAATTCACACATGGCACATGACTAACTAAGGACGAACCCATTCCGACTCTCAAACTAATGTAAGTATTCACGGAGCCACAAGATATTAAGCATTAAATACAAAGTGAACATAAGCCAAGAAAATGAGAAGTAGGCGTCATATAACATGCTATCCAAAAAAACAAGGCATCATGGACAATTTTAAGACATACGGAAGATTACACATGCCCAAACCTAAATATGCTTCTATCAAACAAGTCAAGGGCGCCTAGAAATCTCATCTATCTTCCTCTATTTTTTTTAAATTCTAATTTACTCTAAAAAATTTTAAAAAAACTTTTATCCGGTTCAAACTACATCCAATAAAAAAGAATCGAGGCACAAAGAAAAATCACGGGGAAATTAATACTACCTAAAAAATAAAAGACATTTGGATTTTCTATTTTTCAATTTTTTTTAGGCCTTAGTCCCTCAAGAAAACTGTCTAGGAGATCCATCGTCAGGAAAAGTCCAAATTTTTCTAATTCTTTTTTCGATTTTGTGTATTTATGCTTTTTTCTTAATTTTTATTTTCAATATCAATAAACTACTAGTAAATTATTTTTTTTAAAACTACCACTAATTTACTACACTAATGTTTTTTTTTCTCCTTTTTCATTAAGCTATGCTAAAAAAATAAAGAGAAAGAAGCTAATCTAAAAATTACTAAATTATAATAAAAATAAAAACTAACAACCAACCTACTATATATATGCTCCAGATAATCCCCCACCCATACTTATCTCATGTAGTGTCCTCAATGAATATAAAATAATGAAAATTAAGTGAGGTGGTAAGAAAATCTTCCTGGTCACTCCTCATCATCGCCCTCATCATAGAAGGCCATATCAGCAGCTGCCCAATCTTCATCATCATCTCCTGGCTTAGCATCCTCCTCAGCTTCATCCTCAAGCTGCTCTGGCTCGGCCTCTCAATATTTGGGCGTGTTGAAATCTTCGTCCTCAGGTAATCTCTAGCCCTCACCAAGCCCCACCAGATGATGTGCATGGTATTGAGCGGGAAGTGCTAACATAAGTTAGTCCTCTCCTCCTGAGTAGCTGACCTTCCTCCAATTTGTAGCTGCAAGTATAACATCATATAGAAATAGGCCATAAAGCTATAATCATGAGTATTGTGCTCGTCACTAGCAGGCGCAATCATATCATCTCTTTCTTAGGCTGGATGCTGGTGATGGCAGTCCCTCGAAGGGTGCTGGGATGATTATATCAAACTCTATCTCCTCCTCTACCTCCCCCTTTCTCAGATAATTAGTCAACACATTGCCAAAGAATAACCTATCAAACTCTTGCTCTTTCTTACCTATGCCATCTGATGGCGTATCAAATGTCCAACTTTCACTTTTTGACCGTTCATTAGGAAGTAAAGCAAGCACACTTCTCCCGCCAAATCAGAGTGTCATGATTGCACGATAGCAACCGAGTGTTAATCAATTTCAATCAAACTTGAAACTCCAGAACCGAGTGTTAATCAATTTCAATCAAACTTGAGACTCCAGCTTCATCTTCTTCTTTTGAAATTTCCTATGGCGGCCAGTCTTTTTGTCATATACCCAGGCGGCCACATAATTGATACCACATAATATGTGTCTAAGCTATCGATATATCGGGTAGGAAATGAAGTTACCCAGGGGATCATGTTGAACATTTGGAGCTCCCAAGTAGTTGCATAAAGCGGTTGCAGAAAAATCAATCAATCTACCCCGAATAGGCACATATTGCTCCGGATCATTTGGATCATATCCTTTATAAATATAGCGAAAGAGGTTAATATTAATATCCCTAGGGTTCCCAAACACATAGCTCTACCCAAGCTCATGAACAAACTTCTATATTGCTGGATACTTAGTACGTAAATGGCGCTCATCAACGGCTAGATCGAGGTGCATATGCTTAGGCCGACAAATCTTATATCATGCCTTGGTAGATGGGGTATAGTTTTAATTCCATATTCATGCTACCCTTGAGGTCTGGGGCGTGAAGCTGCCATAGCTGCAACTATCCGTAGTACCTTATCCTAACTAGATGTGGCGTCTCCCTCTTTCCGCTTTTTCGGTGGCGGTACAGTGGATGTCTTCCCTTTGGTGGGGGTAGTAGCTTTGCCCATTCCTTTATCAGTTGGTGGTGAATTTGGTTTTGGCATACCATATTTGTACCTACACAAGTGACTGTTAGTTAACTTTAGAGGGTATTGAATTAATTCGAAACATGGTCGTACCATCCACATTTAAAAGATTAGCACATTGTTGTCAACTAAGTCGAGGCTACTCATACTTCACCTCTTGAAATTAAGCAATAATTGGAGCTGCAAGACAACTAGTTCATGCAAGAGAACAATGTAAATGTCATACTTGAAACCTTTACCCCGACACCGGTGAGCCACCCATACTTAAATCTTATGATCGGTATGCTTACAACCTACTAGTGTATCAATCCCGAAGATTCAGGCTCTAATTGGGACACAACATGCCTTTGAGGCATTTTATTGAACACATGATATGCACTAGTGTGGTTTAAGATATTGTGTGGGTGAGTGATTGCCTCCACCTCCTAAATCAACTTGGAATTCAAGTGTAAACACTCGTAGGAGCAACAAGAATAATATTCTTATAGGTTTCATGGGGTTGGGACAAGCATGCACAATTTCATATTCAAAACATTCATAAATTATGCTAGGTGCAATTTTACCTCAAGCAATCTAAAAATAAAGGAAGGAGAAGTAAGAATTCATTCTAGATGTTGTAGAGGGAGCAGGAACCTTCAATTAATGGTGATTATGAGAGGATGTAGGTGTGAGAAGGGAGTTTGGGGAAGTTAGTTGAGGGAATGAGAGAAGGGAGAGAGTTGGGCAGTGAGGTTTTGAAGGATTTGGTCGTGCTTTTGTTTTGTGTTGGTGTGCTTTGTTTTGTGTGTTTTAAAATGGTGTTAGAGGTTTTAAAAGGAGAGAAGAAGAAAAATCTTATCTGGCCTCAGAAGCTGGGACGTAAGGCCTACCGCAAGACAGATCATTAAATGCGAGGTCTAGGGTGATTAGTAGACCAGGCAGCGCCCGGTGAGGTGCAACAAGTAGGGCACAATGGAGCGCACGTCGCCAGCTCTGGCGCGAGGGAACGCACATGCCTAGGCAAGAAGCACTAGCTCTGGCGCGAGGTCATCTGTGCTTTGGTGCCTAAGGTCCCTTTTTGGGACTCCTTCATGAATTTTTGACCTCTCAACATGCTCTCGTACCTATTCAACCACCAAAATCCAACTAAAAACTTGTTAGTATCGTAAAACAAAGAGAGAGAAAATCTAATTAAGCTAAACTAAACTACGAATAAGGTTCCTCCCAACGAGCCCCTTAGTTAACGTCATGGCATGACGAATACAACATCATAATGGGTTGCCTCCAATGAAGCACCTGATTTAACATTGCACATGGCTCAAGACATTCCCTCAAGCATCCAACAAGTCTATCGAAGTTTTGTGACAATGAACGCCACAACCCCAATAGTGTTTATCTCTTTTCCTATTGAATAAAACATGCCATCACTCTTGGGATCCCGTAGTTTGATAGCTCCATGCTTTGTAGCCTGAACTACTTCAAATGGACGCGTCCATCTAGACTTGAGCTTCCCAGGAAATAGCTTCAACCTTGAATTGAACAATAGAATGGCTTGATTTGGTTCAAACTCACGATGCATAATATATTTGTCATGACATCTCTTTGTTTTCTCTTTATACAGCTCTGCATTCTCATAAGCATGAAATCGAAACTCTTCAAGCTCATTGAGTTTCAACATTTGTTTTTCCCCAGTTAGATCCATATCAAAGTTGAGATTCTTGATTTCCCAATATGCTTCGTGTTCAAGCTCAACGTGCAAGTGACAAGCCTTCCCATAAACCAACCGACACAGTGAAGTGCCAATTGTAGTTTTGTACGCAATTAGATATGCCCATAGAGCATCACCCAGCTTGATATCCCAATCCTCTTGTTGCGCTCACTGACTTCTCCAAAATTTGCTTCACCTCCCTATTCGAAACCTTGACTTGACCATTGGTTGCGGATGATAGGCAGTTGTGACCTTGTGTTTCACACCATACTTAGCCGAGAGGTTGCCCAATAATTTCTTGCAAAAGTGAGTACCTCTATCAGTAATCAGAGCATGCGGAGTTCCAAATCTCGTGAAAATGTTTTTCTTCATTAAGTTCACCACAACCTTAGCATCATTCGTAGGAAAAGACACAACCTCAACCGACTTCGACACATAATCAACTGCAACCAAGATGTACCTATGAGCATTTGATGATGGAAACAACCCCATGAAGTATATTCCCAATACATCGAAGATTTTGACCAACATTATGCCCTTCAATGTCGTCTCATGCCTCTTTGAAATCGTTCCCTTTCTTAGGCACATATCATATCTCTTCACAAAAACATGTGCATCCTTGAATAGATTGGGCCAATAAAATCCCGACTCGAACACCTTTGCAGTTGTTTTGTCTCCACCATGGTGCCTTCTATAAGATGATGCATAACAATCTTGCAAAATTGCTTCCATCTCCTCCTTAGGGACACAGTGCCACACCAACTGATCTGGATAATGCTTAAACAAAATGGCTCATCCCACAGATAAAATCTTACATCATGCATGAATTTTCTCTTACCATCTGGTGACAACTCTGACGGAGTCGCCCCACTTACGATGAAGTTCGCATAGTCAGCATACCATGGGGTTGTGCCAGCTGTGACGGCTAGAAATTTCTCATCACAAAAACTTTCCTGAATTTCACCCCCTTCATCCATATGTGTGCGAGTTTCGAAGTGCGACAAGTGTTCAACTACCTAATTTTTGGCCCCTTTTCGATCTCTGATTTTCACATCAAATTCATACAAAAGAAGAACCCAATGAATGACTCTAGGCTTAGGATCCTTTTTCTCAAACAAATACTTGATGGCTGCATGGTCTGTATAAACGATGACTTTAGTTCCCACTGATGTGTCGTAGAATTGCGGCACTTTTGATACTAATTACATAGGCTAGAGCTCATCTTTTAAAGCATTTTAAGTCAATTCTTATGTAGTTTTGGTGTTTTGTAGCAAACTAGACTTGAAGAACCAAGAACAAGGAAAAGATGACAAAAACTTATAGAAGGGCAAAAATGCAGCAGGTAAGCGACTGCAAAAGTGATGTGTGGGCCTAAAACAAACCGCAGAGTGAAGCGGATACACCCAACTTTTAGAATCAATTTTGCGGTAAATTTTGTTATCGCATAACGCTTGTGCGGACCGCATAATGACCGCAGAAGTTCAAAGAGTGTTTTTGCGAGAACAATTCTGCGGCATCAAATGAGACCGGGAAGTCAATGTGCGGACCACATAATGGATCTGCAATGGAAAACTGGGCAACTGGACATTCAAGTATGCGATGAAATTGTAGTTATGCGGGCCGCAAAAGTGTTTTGCGGCTTGTTCTACAATCGCAGATGTGATTTGCAGGGGTATTTTTGTTATATTTTGACGCTGACTTTTAGTCCATTATAAATAGAATAACTAGGGTTTTGTGGGCCATCTTGTCTGGAAAAAAGGCATTAAATACACCATTATTTTGGAAGCTTTGGAAGAAGAGAATATTGTCATCTTTGTAAGCCTTATGACTTTATATATTGCTTTGTTTTTGGATTATAGTATGAGTAGCTAGTTTTAAATACTAAGGTTGTGGACCCTAAATGAGTGTAATGTTAATGGGTATTTACTATTGAATATATATATATATATATATNGATTGTTGCAAACATTGACTAATGTCATTTCACTCTATCTTTACTTGAAAAAGTGGGTTGGGGTTTAGTAGAATTGAATAACAAAAACTCAAGGCTTTAAACCTTGTTTAATAGAATCGATAGGAATAAGTGAGTTCTATTTGGCATAAATTGGTTGTTCTTAACTGCAACTCTTTTATATTTGGGAAAATCATAAAGAGAAAATACTACCTAACTATTGGAAAATATTGGTAGTCATTTAGGAATCAGTTGCATATCAAAAGACCTTCCATTAGAAATATATCATATTAACACTGATAGTATTATATCCCATTGATGGGGACACAACCTTGGTTTTCTTAATCAAATTAATTACACTCTCATAATAAAATAGTTATCTTGATAATTCACAATTACAACATTCTCTTTTTAAGCTAACGGAGTAGAATTATGACTTAAGTCAAGTTTCACACTACTCAAGTAACCTTTTCACACATATTCATTGTGGGATTCGACTCCAACCTTGTTGGGTTATTATATTTGACACCGACTGCCTTACATTATTTATTTAAGTGTAATTTGAATGTATCAACCACCAATTAAGCCCTAAATTTATCAAATGCCCATATTACCACTAGCAACTCTTTTTTTGTAACTATTAATTTATTTGTGTTGGATTTAGAATTTTACTAGCATAGTAAATCGAGTGAAACATTTTTTTTCCTCTGACCCACTATGGCCCCAATTTCTATGTCACTATCATCACACATAAACTGAAAGGCTCACCCCCCTCTGGGGCGATGATAATTGGTGCAGTTGTCAATTTCTTTTTAAGCTCCTCATACGCCTTCCAGCAATGCTCATTAAACTTGAAAGGCGTGTTCTTCTCAAGCAACCTGCACAAGGGAGTAGAAATCTTAGAGTTTAATGAATCTGTGACAGAAACCTGCATGACCCAGAAAGCTTCTGACTCCATTAACAGAGATTAGAGGTGGCAGTTTGTCAGTTGCATTCACTTTTGCCTTGTCCACCTCCAACCCACATTTAGACACTTTGTGCCCGAGTACAATTCCTTCTCGTACCATAAAATAACACTTCTCCCAATTAAGCACTAAGGTTGTCCCTTCACACCTGGCAAGTACTTTACTCAAATTTGTGAAGTATTCATCAAAAGATGGTCCGAAGACCAAAAAATTATCCATAAACACTTCAACAAATTTTTCTATCATATCAGTAAAGATTGCCATGATGCACCTTTGAAAAGTGGTTGTGCATTGCACAACCCAAATGAAATTTGCTTAAAAGCATAAGTGCCATAAGGATAAGTGAAGGTACTCTTTTCTTGGTCCTCTGGTTCAATTAATATTTGATTATAGCCGGAATATCCATCAAGAAAACTGTAATATTCTTGTCCGACCAATCTATGTAACATATGATCAATGAAGGGAAGGGGAAGTGGTTTTTTCTAGTAGCATTATTCAATTTCCGATAGTCTATTCAAATTCTCCAACCTTTGATAGTTCTAGTTGGAATTAATTCATTATTCTCATTTATGACCACCATCATTTCACCCTTCTTAGGCACACACTGTACTACACTTACCCACTTATTGTTAGAGATAAGAAAGATAATACCTGCATCTAGCCACTTTATAAATTCCTTTCTAACCACTTCCTTCATGACTTGATTCAAGCGGCGTTGGTGTTCTACACTTGGTTTGTTCCCATCCTCCATGATAATTTTAACCATACAAAACGTTGTGCTAATACCACGAATGTTAACCATGGTTCTTCCAATCGCATGCTTGTGCTCTCTAAGCACACGAAGCAGCTTTTCCTCCTGCAAAGCATATAACTCAGAAGATACAACATGTAAAGTTTTATTAGCACCCAAATAAGTATAATGATGATAAGAGGGCAAGGGCTTGAGCTCTAATGTGGGAGGTTCTTTGATGGACAGCTTAGGTAGTGTCACAATTGGTATATCTAGAGGCTCGAAATTGATTATTCCTTTTATGTAAGAACATGCATCCAGATGACACACCATCTCCTTAACCTCATTATCCATGTCAATGTTGTCGAACACCATAAGTGCTTTCTCAAGAGAGTCATCCAGATATGCACCCACATCATTTTATTTTTCTTATTTTTCAACCATATGTAACATCCTCATAGTTACTTGAAAGCTGAAATGCCTTGTACACGTTAGAATTGCTTCCACAATATCAACCCGGAGAATTATTTTCCTTTACAAAATTTTATCACAACATCGGTGGTGGCTAAGAGAGGTCTTCCCAAGATAATGTGGATGTATTCATTAGCTTCATAGTCTAGTATAATTAAATCCTCTGGAAGAATAAATTACCCAATCTGTAGTAGCACATCTTCGATCATCCCCTCGGGATGGACAATAGATCTATCAGCAAGTTGCATCATGATAGTGGTTGGCCTTGGGGCCCCAACCCCAATTGATTGAAAACCAAGAAAGGCATCAAATATATGCATGCCCCCAAATCACAATGTGCATGTCCCATATCTACCTCACAAATTCGAGCAGAGATGGTGAAAATCCTAGGGTCCTTCAACTTTTGGGGCAACTTCCTTTGGATTCATGATGTGCACTCTTCAGTAAGTCTCACTGTTTCAAATTATGTCAATCTTCTTTTATTATCCACAATATCCTTGATGTACTTAGCATATTTTGGAATTTCACGTAACAAAACCCAATGGGAGATTCAATTGGATTGGACTCAGCATATCAAGAAATTTGTTGAACATACTATCATCACTTTTCTTCTTCAATATATGTGGAAAAGGAGGTGGCGGCCTTGAAACTGGAGTCTTTTCACTTTCCTCAATTTCTTTCTCAGTTTCACCTATAGCCTTAGGGACTAGTTTTCCTTCAGAAGTGACTTTCTCTTTTTTTATTTTTGGTACCTCTTCCAATTATCTTTCATTCCTCAAAGTTACAATATTTACTTGATGATTCTTGTTTGTATCACTTGGAAGGGCCCCTACAGGTCGGGTATTTTGATGTGCAGCCAACCACTCAATTTGCCTCTCTATATTTCGAAATTCAGTCCTCAGTTGTTGGTTGTCTGTTCGAAGTTGCTGGTTGTCAATTAACAAATTTTTCAAAATATCATTGGTGATTTCTTCTATGTATTGTGGTGAGTTTTGGGGCTGATTATAGTTTTCTTGGGGTCTATATTGATTTTGAGTAGCCTGGTTTCCACCCCATGAGATGTTCGGGTGATTCCTCGAGCTGGAATTATAAGTGTTCCTATATTGTCTATTTTGATTTGTTGGACCTCTAACCTACGCCCACATAATAAAAAGATTCTGGATTCACTGACATTGGTCGCTTATATGACCATCTCTATAAATTTCACCACACTTGGCCATCCCGTTCACTTACTGCATCTGATACCCTTGACCCATTGTCATCTTAGCCACTTGGTTTCTAAGTTTAGAAAATTTTGCCCGCATGGCTGACATCTCATCCATCTCGAGTGTACTTGCTTCTTTCTGTCTTATCATTATTCTTGGTTCACCCTCACTTTGCCAGTTATGATCATTTGCAGTGAAATTATTCAATAGAGTCTAAATCTCACTGTATGGCTTTTGCATGCAACTTCCTCCACAAGCTAAGTCTAGACTCAATTTAGAGGTCTCGTCCAACCCATCCACAAAAGTATGACCCAACACTTCATCAGCTTGACAGTGACGTGTGCAATCTCTGAGTAGCTTTTTATATCTATCCCAGGCTTGACGTAGAGTCTCAACAACCCATAATTTGACTTCTTGGTGACTTTATTTTCTTTGTAGGAAAGAATTTAATGAGGAAGTTCCGTGCTAGGTCGTCTTATGTGTGGATTGAGTTTGCTGTCTCTTTGTTCAACCATTCCTTTGCTTTCCCCATCACAGAAAAGAGAAACAAAGTTATTCTGATATAGTCCTCAAAGACCTTTGGATAGTTGTATGTAACCGTATTCTCCAAAACATTCTGCATATGCTTTTGGGGATCTTCACGCGATAAACTCACAAATTGCCCTGTGGATTGAATTAGTTGTACCATGTAGTGTTTCAGCTCGAAGTGCCTAGTTATGTCAGGCTTCATGATAACATGAGTCATGTTTGCGAGACAAGGCCTTGCAGCATCAATCACCAGTCTCTCATCATTTTTTCTGATATCGATTGGTTGTGGTTGGCCTATAATGCCCAACTCTACAGTCCTTGCTCTTGGTTCCTCGTCCCTCCTTAACTTGTGAAAGAGTCTTTCGGGTTCATGATCAAAAGGAGAAAGATTATTGAAACTGTTACTTCTTCTTAGCATTCAATGTGAACTCTGTAGAGTCGGAAACAATAAAGAAATTAAATCTCGAACCAAGACAAATCAAAGATTATTTCAGACAAGTAGCTAATTTCTAATTTTTCGGCAGCGACACCAAAAACTTGTTGGTTCCAAACCCACATGCAAGTATACGTGATCGAAAAATAATAATATAATGAGAAGAAGATGATCAACTATCGTCCAATCTAAACTATTTATAAATTTATTGCTCGAGTGGTTGTGAAGAAGATGATTGTGTTTGTATTACTAAAATTACTACGAAATTACTAAATAGTCAAACAATTCAAAGATGCAAAGCAAGCAAGCAAGCAAGCAAACGCTTAGAAAATATTCGATGAGATGGGAATATTTCGGGGTTATGGAATTAATGTCTCTCCTATTTCGTTCTCCAGGTTGATTTAATCACTTGATTTATCCAATTTATTGATTAGTAGGGTTTATTATGCTCGCGAAGTTCTTTCGACATTTCGCTCGCCTATTCAAGCCAACCTAAGACTATATGGTCTATAGAATTAGAATTAACAAGAATGCATGTGTATTTCTTGCAAAAATAACCAAGTAAGACAACTA